TAATCAAGTTACAGAACTCTGTAAAGAACCTTCAATAAACCAAACAGTAAAGATAGGCTGGAATATAAGAAACAAAAATTGATGGTATCTCCTCAGAGAAAATCGAAGAAAAGTACAAGACTATACTTAGTCCCGAAGACAAAAATATGCTAATAAAGATCAAGAGAGCTACACTTACATAGTAAGTAAAATACATTATAAAATTGGTTTTGAAAAAGGTTTATTCCTAATTTTTTTTTAACTATTGTTTTATAGTGCAAAAAATTTGGCTTATGTTAATCTGCCAATGTCTAAAGCTGCCTTCGATAACTTATTCATTAATATGTTAACCCAAAGATTTCTTGATAAAAATAAATTAAAAATGGATACGTAAATAATCATGATTATTTTATATGAAAAATATTGTAATAGACAATTATTTTGTTCATTAATATATGTATTTCCCTTAGAGGTAATATTTGTTCTTGGGCATCATCACAAAGACAGAATAATAGTCATTCGATAACTTTGCGTACCTGAGTTGGGCAAAAGTGTGATATTAGAGAGACATTAAAAAGTAGTGTAAACAGATTAGAAACCTTAATAAGTTTTAGAAGTGGCGGCATTCCTGAAACATATCACAAAAAAATTTTTCTAGATGCTCTTGATTTAGCAATAACTATAAGAGACATTCTTTATACATTTTTTAATTCCAATTTAAATGCTTCTGATAAAGATTTACATAAGATATTTATTCTTGGCATTTAGTTTTGGGGTAAGTATATATCATAATTAATATTGATTAAATTATATCCGTAATTGCTTACAAATGTTATTTTACATCAAGGTTGGAAATATCAAATTCTTATTATAGATTGTAAAGCAACTAATGTTTTTTGATATGGAAAGTTGTCTGTGACTACTTTGCCAAATTCGATAAAAATATTGATATGCCTTGAAAAGCTCTATATTAAATTAGAAAACATGAAGATATTTTCTGATTCGGTATTATGATATAAATAATGACTACTTTTTTAAATATGTTTTTTGTATATAATTATAGGTTACTCTTAATCACATTTGCAAAGAATCAAACCAGATTGCTTTATCCCATGCTCGAACATATAGAAAAAAGTGAAAAGATAGTGACCAAGCGGAAAGCTCTAATGTGGAAGTTGGAGGTTGTTGTAGTGAAATTTCTAATACTCCT